GATAATGAATGCATAGAGGCTAAAGGACACTGCTTCTGTTGAGGTTCCGTTATCTAGAAACATTGGCATCTCAAGAACTGTGTCCAGCGCTTGTGGGCGGGAAGTTTTGATTTGCTGATCAAATCTTTGAATTTGTAAGCAAATGAGTCTTGTATCTGGAAGCAAGGCAAACACACTACCCCTGTTCGTCCATTGTGTTACTGATTGCTGAAGAGTCGAGAGTCCATCCGGCGGCTCGGGTAGATACAGAATCAAGCCACCTTTTTCCTCAACACTTATGCGCTCCTCCGGTGCTGAGATATGAACTCGCGCCTCCCATTTATCTGATGAAAGATCTGGAATACGCTGAGAGATATGCAACAGAAATTGAGATGCATCCTCCTGCCTGGGTCGTAATCGCCATCCTGCTAGCAGCGGACGAAGATGTCGCAACCTCCGAACATCCGCATGAGAGGATCTGCCATTCAGGGAACCTATTTCCGTTAGGATGGAATTTAAAGAAGGATCTGGGAACAGTCCGTCTGACAAGAGAGAGATAAGGATATGAACGACCGTGTGTGCATAGCACAGTTGATGCGGATTATGATAAGCTAGACGCCAGGCAGCGTCTTGCATGGAAGCTGTGGGAGGCGCAGTGGTTGAACGACCCGAGACGCGTGCAGTGTATGTCAGCAAAGAAGCTCGGCTGCTGGAGGAAGCCTCCTGGGAGGAAGCCTCCCTTCCTCTCACCTGGCTAATTGGAGGATCTGCACTGAAGAGATCTGGCAGCTCCATAGGCTTGGCACAAGCTGCACTCATGGCGTATGTCTGAAGCAGAACCACACATTGCTCTGCATGGCGTACTGGAGCATCTACCACACAACAACAACAACAACAACATCAACAACATCAACAACATCAACAACAACAACAGCAACAACAACAACAACAACAACAGCAACAACAACAACAGCAACAACAACAGCAACAACAGCAACAGCATCAACAGCAACAGCAACAGCAACAGCAACAGCAACAGCAACAGCAACAGCAACAGCAGCAGCAACAGCAACAGCAACAACAACAACAACAACAACAACGACAACAACAACATTTTTTCATTTCATTTCGGACGCATGTGCGGGATACGTCCCGCACCTTGGCGGGCATCGAGGGGTAGAATGACTTGAAATGACGGCCAATTCTAAGTCAACTTGAGCTCTGTGCGTAGGGTAAAGCCGCAAGCAAACGAATGCAAAGTAAAGAGAAGAAAAGCGCTTCAGTTGACTGTCTTGCCCGGCAGCTGTCGCCAAAAGCTGGGCTAGACTAGCTGCAACACGGAGGTCAGTGGACTGGGAGGAGACCTCATGCGGTTCACAAGCATGATGCCAATTTTTCATCATCTGTACAATGGTGACCCAGCCCGTGCACATCAGGCAAAACTGCACTCTGCACAAACTAGCTGCAACACGGTGGACTTTAACCAGGAGGGGACCTCACACGATTTTTTGTCCAAGTCCGTGTACAGCAGGCAAAAACTGCACTTTGCACTTTACAACCCGACAAGAAGAAACACAAAGCCTGGAACCCAAAACCCAAGATAGAGCAGTGCAGTTGTTCAGAAAGCAGAGCATTCAATCTTGATATTATTCACAGTTCAAAGGGGTTTGCCCCGACTTAAAAGCTCAGTCAATTGAGAAGAAGAGCTAGTGCATTAAATTTTGGGCTGCTGCAACTTACAGGAGCTTCGCTCTCAGGCCATTGCTAATGCAGCAGAAGTGAGCGTCGAAACGTGCATAGACGGCAAAGCAGTAGCTCTAGAATGGTGCTGGTGGCGAAACAACTACAAGATCTACCAACAAGAAACAAACAAGAAAGAAACAAGGCAGCATCACTACAACATACTACCATTGGCAATGGAAGCGGAATGACCCTGAGCCGAGAACCCTGCTAAGAAGTAGCATAAGCTTAAATTGCACAGGGACATTGCGATCCTTCAGGAGAAGATCTCACTGGAATGGATTGCTTGCCAGGAGGCGACCTCACTCGAAAATTTATGGCTCAGGTCGCTTCTGCTAACGAAAGGTGGCGTGGAGCACTGAGCTGGTGAAACAAAGGCTTTTCAAGGAGAAAGCCTTTTCCGGAGATGTTCTTGCTCAGGCCGCTGCCACTGCAGTATGTGAAATGAAATAGTTAAAATGGAAGACCAACACCAACCTACTAGCATCTTGCTTCAGTGCCTTACCCGACGAACGGGACTACTAGGCCACAGTGCCTCGCCCGACTGACGGGACTACTAGGCTGTCTTGACCAAGCAGAGTGAAGAAAGAAAGTCACATGTTGCCTTACCCGACGAGCGGGACTACTAGGCGCTTCAGGAGCCTTACCCGACGAGCGGGACTTCTAGGCTGAATGTGGGCCATCTCACCACCAGCGTTGATTCGGAAATGTGCATGTGTTGTGTAACGTTGAGAGCACAAACGCAGCGAAAACTAATCCGTGAAGAACCCGAGCATAGCTTTCACCTGGCCAGGATCAGGGGCGAATAGTTTGCACTGAATGTCCCAGCGGAGTGCTTTGTGACTGCATAACCACTCAAGAGCTTCGCCTGGAGCAAGCGGGGAGTCACGACCTCCACCTTAGGTCTGCGGCCGCGCAAGCGCTGGCCGCGCCAACCCACTTAGCTCAGTACTGAAGGCTTGAAGTAGAATACATTGAGAAACGTTAGGTGAGGTTGCTTCTCCTCGAATTGTAATCGCCTGCGCTTCCAGCTCAAAGCTGGTGGTGAACTGGCAGAAGACCTTCTTGTCTGAACTGTGAATAGTACCAGATTTGCAAAATACGCATTGGCCAGTGCCGTCCGACTTCAGCTTCCGAGTACCAGAGGCTATGATGAAGGGCCGTATAGAGATCTGCCGCTCGCGCAGCAGGGACTCAGGCTTGTCTCCGTCAACTTGGCTGGGGCGACGAACTTCGAGGCTCCCGTTAGTAGGACCGCTTCGTCGGACAGCATCTGTAGACATGCAACTGAAAAGAGGAATACTGTTGATTGTTGTCAAGCTGCGGTATGACCTGCATGAAATTCAGAAAGAAACCATTTGCTCTGCTTTGTGAATCAGCGCATAGAATAACCCGTCATCCTCTGCTATAGGCTCATAAGTCATTCCCCTCTGCCATCCTCATGTTTCGACTGAAGTGCCGAGGCACGATCAGACTCCCCTCGCCGTGAGGAAAGGCGAGAACCCTCACACTTGGGAGCAAAAGATGAAGTCTTAGACCATCTAGGTTCTCCCCCCGGAATTGGGACCGGGCCAGCTCGTAGATATGCTGTCTGCGGCTGGATCTCAATTGCAGGAGGCTAAAGCCTCGAAATGACCATCAGCTGGCAAAAGCTAATAAGCCTTGAGATGTTAGGTGGGCCCCGAAAGCTGTTAAAGAGATGAAGTTCGGGGCCTTGGCCGGTTCGACAGCTACCATGCGCGGGCGGCTTGAGCTGGTAGTGCTTCAACAACAACAACAACAACAACAACAACAACAGCAACAGCAACAGCAACAGCAACAGCACCAGCAACAGCAACAGCACCAGCACCAGCAACAGCACCAGCACCAGCAACAGCAGCAACAGCAACAGCAGCAACAGCAACAGCAGCAACAGCAACAGCAACAACACCAACAACAACAACACCAACAACAGCAACAGCAACAGCAACAGCAACAGCAACAGCAACAGCAACAGCAACAGCAACAGCAACAGCAACAGCAACAGCAACAGCAACAGCAACAGCAACAACAACAACAACAACAACAACAACAACAAAACACCAACCAACATTTCATTTCATTTCGGACGCATGTGCGGGTCACGTCCCACACCTTGGCGGGCATCGAGGGTGAAAAAATGGTGACCTATCTGTCGGGAGCCGTATTAGGCCGGTTGCGATATGATTTGTCAGCCAGTCTGAGCTTGCTGCGAGTTGAGAGAGCTCAGACCTCAGCAGTGCAGGATGGTGCAAGAGCAAGGCTTTTGATAGAGCGATAGTAAGGATTCTCTGTCTCCTCGGCGTAACGTGTTTTATTTCTGCCGGAGTAGGAAGCTGTGCTGAAGTGCTCTGTATCAGAGCTTGCTGATCGCAGACTGTATGCGATTTCAGAAGAAAGATAAGTGTCCCGTTTGCAGGAGGGGACCTCACTCGCAAACGGGTGGAAGATCTGCAGATCTATGTGGTGAGGCTAAGACAGCGTCCTCACGAGCTCTCAGGTGAGTGCGGATTTGATGCCGATGAAGGAAAGTGAGCATTTTGTAGAGGACGGCAAAGGATTTGTGTTCCTCGTAGACTTCGTCTTGCAGCGGGTTGATAATCTGAAAGAACCTGAGCGCGCTGCTATTTTGAAGTGCTTGGGTGTAGTCTGTCGGCGTAGGAAGTCTGGCCTTCGCCTGAAAGGAGAGGTTTACCTGCCTCAGGAGGGCAGATTCAAAGACCTCTGTGAATTCCGTCTTGGACATGACTTCTCCTGAGACTGCGGATCGTACCCAGCTGACTTCCTCGTCCTTTATCTCACGAAGCAGCCACTTCCGATATAGCACCAGATCCTCGCGGATTTGGTCCTGGTAGTTCGGGAGCAGTTCTTGAAGTGCCTGCAGGTGCTGGTCATAGGAGAGGGAGGCTAGGCGTTGACCTTGATGCTGGAAGCTCCAGCTGTTTTGCACTTCAACGGCCCCGTCTCGAGATGAAATTGCAGATTTGAGAGATTGTTGAAGTCGGTACACCAAGGACGCCCGCCTCAGGGCTTGCATGTCAAAGAAGGCCAGGTCCAGCTTGTGTTCATCTCGGAGGTGGAGATTCGAGTGGAAGTAGGCCAGGCCCTGTCCCGGTGCATGGCTGCGACTGTTCGGGAAGGCCCCATATGCCAGCGAGCAGCCGGGGGGCTGCAGAACGCATGAGGATGTAAATGTGCTCGATCGCAGTAGAAATCATGAAGTTTGTCTCGTTCCGTCCAAAGTGACGTGTGAGGTAAGTCCAAACACGTTGGGCTGTTCCGTTGGCGTCCTTCAGCTGAAAGGAGTCGAGCCCCAGGCCCTCATTGGTGTAGTCCCTGATCGCCTGTGAGATGAAGACGAGCTGGCGTTTCTGGTGATAGGTCATAATGTCTCTCGTGGGAGAGGTCAGGAGCAGCTCGTCATGCTTGCGCTTTTTGCTCAGCTGTCTTGGAGCCGTTGTCGGAGCGCAGATACTCTGTGTGCCCCGCTTCCAGTTCACCTTTTCCGCAAGAAGCTTCATGAAGCTGCAGACTCGAGACGCCAGCCTCACTTGACGATCAGGGTAAAGAAGGGCGTCATCTGCGTCCGTTCGGGTTGCTGCGAGGGCCAGATTGGAGGAGGAGGAAGAGTCTGCTGCAGAGTGGGGATAGACCGGGAGTGGCATGAACATCGCTTCGAGTAGAACTTCCATGGCTTGCTCCCGGGAGAGGATTGCTGACATTGAACTCACTCTCGTTCAGGAGGTGACCTCACACGAACGGAGGAGAGAGGGGTGTTTGATGTCACGCCTGCGAGCAGAATGGTTTTGGATTGCTTAGGCAGTTTGTATCAGAATGCATGTAGCAAACGGAGTGATTAGGTGAACTGAAGGGCAGCCTTGCTTTTCCTCCGAGGCCAAAATTATGAGAGCGTGTTTTCTTCTTCTGCTACCATCCGACAGGAGGCGACCTCACACGTGGGATGACACAAAATTGATGCAGAGTGTTTTACTCGCGAATTTTGTCTTGGAGCAGGGCCTTCAGGTACCGTCGGCGATAGTCTGTGAGCAGAGTGAGGGCCACCGCGAAGGTTTTATAGTCCTCATAGACCTCGTCGTGCAAGGGAGACACGATGTTGAGGGTTCCGTTCGCCTGCTCGTAGTCGCCCAGAGACTGTCAGCGAAATAGCGATGAAGGGTGTCCCTTGGGATGAGCTGGGAGACCACAACTCGTCGTATCCAGAGAAAATCCTCTTCCCTCAAAGACGTTGACAGCCAGAGTCTATACATGGTCAGGATCTCCCTAAGGGTCTCCTGGTAGTGAGGGATCATAGGAGCAAGGGCAAGGTGATGGGAGTCGTAGTCCAGACGGGCAAGGTCACGGTCGTTTTTGAGAAACTCCCAGCTGTCCCTGATTTGCTCGCCTCCTGAGCTGGGCGAGGAGGTGCTGATGGATTTCATTTGCTGTAAGAAGCGAAGCTGTAGTGATGCTCGTTGAAGTACGCGTAGATCATAGGTCTCTAGGTCAAGCCTGTGGACGTCCTGGAGACGGAGGTCATAGGGGAAGTAGGCTTTCCCTTGCCACCAGGTTGGGGTATCCCCCGGCACTTCCTGCAGTAGGCGGCTTTCTTGGATCGGAGTGAGCTCGGATTTCATAAGGACCTTTGCGTAGGCGATAGTCTGGAGTAGGATTCTGTCCAGGTCCTGCTGATGAAATTTTCTCACCAGGTAGTTCCAAGTCAAGGTGCAGGCATGGGTCGCTTCTTCATCAAAGGCAGACTGGCCTTCACCATCGTTTGTGATGTCTCTGATCATCTGGCACAGGTAGAGTGTTTGTTTCCTCTGAAGAGGGGTCATTTCAGGAGCGGGCTGGTGAAGCTTCAGCCTGTCGTCCTTGTGCTTGCGCTTTCCACTGAGTACGCGAGGCCATCCATCGATGTCCGTTTGACGTCCCTCATGCCATGCAAGATGATCTTCGAGTTGGGAGGCAAAGCTGCTCAGGCGAGAAGCAACTCTGATGCTTCGTTCCGCCGTAAATTCAAGAGCATTGTCGGAAGAGAGCTGTTTTCGTCGGGGAGTGGCATTGGCCCAGCTTGGTCCTAATATGGCCTCCTGCTCCTGTCTGGTTTCCGGCAGGTAAGTCGTTGTGGGCACAAAAAGCGCCTCCATCAATATTTCGAGGGCTACCTCTCTTGGAAGAGTGGCCATGGCTAACTACGTGTCCTTTCCAGGAGGCGACCTCGACTCGGAGAGGGACTAACAGATTGCTGCAGAGCCGCTGTCAGTGCAGAGATGTGCGTCAAAGCTGGGCTTATCTGCTTGATGCACTGACAAAGTAGAAAGAAAGAAAGAGCTGACCTGGTGCCTTTTGTGTTGGGGAGCCACGTTTAGGACTTTGAGGACCATGATGCCGGCGGTGATGTGCAATCAGCCGTAGGCTTAGCCTGCACGCATTTTCCTGTCAATGGCGGATGCCGTGCCACGCTGAAGTAATTTCTGTACACAAAGATGATGTGTTGCCTTCTGCTTGTCAGGAGGAGACCTCACTTGACTGTGGAAGGTCAAAGCTTTATGGCGCAGGTAAGAGACCCGCTGCGTGCTTGATTGCATAGAGGAAAACTGCTCGTCTCTGTGGGGTAAGCATTTTGAATGCCAGTATCCAGGGTACTCGTTGATCAATTACCTCGTTGGCCTGCGGGGAAATGATGGTGTAGAGGCGATTCTGAGCCTGCTTGTCCTCCGGGACATGAGTGGCGATTTGGGCTCGAAGCTGCAGAGTGAGGTGAGATCTGGCAAATTCGTCTGGGACCGTGGTGTTGTGCCACAGAACCTCCAGGGAGACTACATCTGCGGCCTCGATTGGCCTCCGGAGCCAGGAACGGCCTATTTGAAGGTCAGCAGTCATCTGCTGGTGGTCGTCGGCATCGAGGAGGTCGGTGGCTGCAATTAGATGGTCCCCGTAGTGGGTGAGTCGAAGATCTTGATCCTGCTGCATGATGTCCCAGGGTTCCTGGCGCTGAGGGCACTCAGTCATGCCCCCCTCAATTGCCAGGTCGACCTTTTCCTCGGCCATTGCCTTTAGGCGGTGAATCGAGGAGGCTCGTTGAAGCATCTGAAGTTCCGCATCTAGAATGCCCAGAGAGTGTTCATCACGAAGTCCAGCATAGGGACTGGTCTCCTCTCTGAAGGGCCAATTGGCGCTCTCGGAGGGGAAGAGAGTAAGAGGAAAGCCGTTGAGGACCCGAGTAGAAATGGAGGGGAAGATCCAGCGTAGGTGTTGTGCCGCG